TTGATATTTATTATTGCTGTGTATGCGTGAGCACATGCAGGGTGTACGCTGGACACAGAAACTAAGCACAAAACGGCTAGATCTTGCCAAGGACCACATGTTTAGTAAATCTCAGGTCAGGATTCAAATCCTGTCTGTCCGATACCAAAATCAGTGTTCTTAATCACTGCATATGCCAGCTAGAGCACAGTCGAGAAATACCACACACTGCATAGATGTGCGGGAGCAGTTCCTTTCCTAAGACAGCAAAGTGACACGCTTTTGTCAGATTACTTATTTTACATATTTTGTGTCCATGTATGTGCTGTGTTCAGAGGACAAAAGTGGTATTGAATCCAGGACTGAAGTTACAGATGGTTGTGAGCCTCCATGTGGTGCTGGAAACCATACTCAGTCCTCTGGAAAAGCAGCCAGTGCTCTTCACTGCTGAGCCATCTGCCCCAGCCTACACTGTTCCTTTCAAACAGTTTTAATTTGACATAAAAACACACATGTTCAGTTTATTTGTATATTTTAAAAGTGCTTTTTGGCTTATAAGATGAAATTATTTTATTCTGGAAAAAACTTACTACAGGTTTCATTTACCCAAATTCTATACTAGATAATATAAAATCTTTATTAATTTTTATTACTTTGAGAAAACAGACCTTTTTTTGTTCTTATTCAAGTGATAAAGGAAAAAAAAACACAGTAACATAATTTATAGGAAGAAACATAATGGTACCCAGAAAGCAAGGCATTTTTATTTATTGGGGGGAGGGGGTTGCTTGAGTTGGCTTTTTGTTTTCCTTTTTTTTTTTTCTTGGTGTCTTTTTTTTTTTTTTTTTTTTTTTTGAGTATGCTGTAGCCAGCCTGGCCTCAAGCGCGTGGTGATCCAGCCTCTGAAGTACAAGGTCACAGGCGAGCACCTCTGGCACCACAGTGGTTTTGTGAGATAAAGTCTTGCTTTGCAGCTGTGCTAGTCAGACACAAGCGAGAGTCATCTGTGAGGAGGGCACCTCAGTGAGAAAATGCTTTCATGAGATGGGACTTCCGCAAGTCTATCGGGCATTTTCTTAACTAGTGGTGCGGGAGGGTACAACCCATTGTGTGTGGTGCCACTCCTGGGCTGGTGGTCCTGGGTTCTATAAGCAGGCATGGCCTCTGTATCCGCTCCTGCCCTGTTTGAGTTCCTGTTCTGACTTCCTTAGATGATGGATAGAGAGATGTGGAAGTGTAAGCCAAATAAACCCGTTCTTTCTTCCCCAAGTTGCTTTTGGATATGGTAACTCATTACAGCATGGCCACCCTAAGACAGCATCCTATGCTTCAAATGAACCATCTTCTTCCTCAGCCTCCCGAGTGCTGGATGAGAGGCAGATGCACTGTGCATAGCTAGGATGCTGACTTTGTACCCAAGGAAGCTGCTCATCTCTAAAATAGGGTTTTCTTTTGATAACTTTACTAATTTTATCTACTTGCATTGCATTATGTTGTTATGTAACATGAGATGTTTCTTCCAGTTAGTGATTTTAAAGAAATATTTGAAGTTAAAAGGAATTAAATAAAATGATCATCACTTTGGTGGCAAACTATGAATGGCTTTCTTAACATGAATGTCTTTGTTCTCAATTTCCTATTTTCCTTACATAAAACCAAGTAATTATATAGTGATCTCAGATCATCATAATTTGGAGAAGTACTTGTATCTCTGCAGCTGAAGTAGCACATAGGTTCTAGAGATTCTCAGAAATACAAACATGCCATAAAGAATGTTAAAACAAGTCTTTCTGTGAACAGGAAAATAGTTTTAAATGGAAAACTTAAGATCTCGTTATTAAAATATAATTAAGCTGGGCTGAGTTGATAAGTCGGGATGAATTCTGTGCTGTGGTGTGGTTTTAAACATTTTAAAGCAATTGTAAGGAAGCCAGCAAGAAGCGCGTAGGAGATTGTTAACCGTTAAGGACTGTGTGTCACCAGAGAGCCATGCCAGCCTTCTGAAAGGCACAAAGCCCGCACCATCACTAGAAAACCGTCTGGAAAGTTGGGACATTTTCTTTTGCTGATGGTATGGATGTCTTGAGCTTTACATAACAGCGACTTACTGAATGTTCCAAGCTTTAACCCCTTAGAGGAGAAAATCATTTAAACCAACATTTATTTCATTTTTCCACATTCTTTGGAAGTGAAGTATGGCAGCTGTCTAAAGTGTGTGGCTGTGTATGTGTTTGAGAACAGTGAACCACAGAGTGATTAAAACAGAATTTAGTGCCCGAAATTGGAATTTGGCTGGGAGCCACAGGGATTGTACTCACCCCCACACTCTGACTGACAGAGCCTTTGTGTGGGGGGGGGGGGGCAGGTGCTCACACATTACCCACACATTACCAACAGAGGACTTTGTAGGGGGTGCAGGTGCTCACACATTGCCAGTGGTGAGCAGTCTCAAAGCAGAGGGAAGGGATTAAATAAAAACTACTAAGGTGAGAAGTTGAGTGCTTTACATAAATAGTAAACTGCATTTCATTTTATTTATGACCCCATATGTTAGGAAGGGACGCTGTTGAAGTAACAATCACTTAAAAAGCAACAACCAACACACCAGTATTTAATTTGGTATTTAAAACCAATAATTAAAAAGTCAAATGGAAGCAATGTCTAAAGTAACTAAGATAATTCATAACAAATAGCAGGAACCCAAGCTCTTACTTATTGGAAATATAATTCATTGCAAGTAAGCTACAATGTAAGGATGGAGTAAGGGCACACATTAGCAAAGTTCTATTAGATTCCCCTAACATTTTTAAAGGACTTCAGAACAAATTTTCTGTGCAAACACTGATGAATTATAATTTCTTCTAAGTTCGTTCATACATGACCTTATTTGAAGCACTGCATTCACTAGCACAATTCATGTTAATAAAATAGTTTTGAAAAGTATTTTCTTTCTTAGGTATTTCACTAGTTTGAAAGGGATTTTTCCAGAGACTAGTCTGAATTTCTGTTGCAGCCTAAGCCTTTAATGAAGATATGCTTCTGAAAAATAAGGCATATTCTCTATAATCTGCCCATGAATAGAAAACAAATCTTTGGTTTTTTTGGTTAAAGTGGCAGAGAAGATTTTGCAAAAAGAAATACTAAATAACCAACACAAAGAGCTCTTAACAAGCAATGGGAAACTCCAAACCCCATCAAGGTAAATAGAGTACCTAAGGCACCTCAAGGTTCAGATGATACAATCGTCTGCTTAGAGTTCAGTATTCTATATACATGGTTCTTACCATCTGCAGAAAGGGAAGCTGAAAAGGTGATGCCCGACTATGAATCAGAAGAGAGTGAAAGCTCGTGAGTGGGAGGGGCACTGGAGAGCGTTCCCATGGTCACAGCATCAGGAGACCAGCGACACCAGTGCACCCTTCCCGATTCTTAATCCATTTCTCTTGGAGCAGGAAAGTTCGTGACTTTAACTTCACTGCCTAATACACTAAGTGTCAAGGGTTTCACAAATGTAGATTTGAAGAAAAAAAGAGAAAAACCAAGACCCAAACCCATCAAATCTCCAAAGGCAACTTGGAAATGAATAACACTTTACTGTCGGGATTCCTTCATTTCATGGGTTTGACAACTTAGCTAGCATGTTAACTCATTATACAGTTTCTTTCAGTTCTATCTAAAAACAGACCAGAACAAAATGGGGAAGGTACAGAAGCCCCATCTGAGCATACATAAGGCCATGATGCTTAATGTGAACCACCGCTGCTTGGAGAAAAAGACATCCCATGTCCACTTCCAAGAGAAAGCTCTTGTCCAGTAGACTGTCCACTACCAAGTGGGGGCGTGTGGTGCTTAGACTTCAAAAACTCCTACAAAGTCACATGCAAGACAGTACATCTAGATTTGTGACTGGTATGAACATTTAAGGCTGTCATTTTCAAGTATCAATGTTTAGTGTTCCATTACCCAATCTGTGCAGTAGACAAAGCTGTGAGCACAAGTCCTGGAAGATAACAGAAGCTCGCTAAAGACAAAGAAGTCGTAGTTTAAGCAACAGCAAATTTAAATCTAAGGAAGGCCGGCAACACGATACGGATTAGATTATGCTTCCCTAAACTGCATGAGGTGGTTCTCATGGAAGCGTCATCTAACACTACTGTCTGTTGATGGCGTTTAGAATAAGGCAGATCCATAGCAGACTAGGAAGAAAACCAAATGGTACCAGCCAGTTATTAAGGTGGTTTGTCTCCAGTACACTGTGATGGCCTATTCCCCGAGAAGGGTCATCAGTGGCTCCAGTACACCAAATAAGCTTTACAAAGAGACATGGAAGTTTGCTTCCCATATTTTTTTACACAGGGCTTTTTATGTAGGGACCCACATATCCTGTCTGTGGCATTAAAGAAATCACCATTATTTAGTTCTGGCTTAATAAAGTATGGCATGGCTGGAGAAACTGTCTTGGGAAGCCTGTAGTATTGTTTGCCTTGTATTCTATGTGTATAAGCTGTGGGTTGTACCCTCTGTGGCTACGGTATCTGTAGCTCATGGAAGCCAAACACCCACACATTCCATGGAACATGCTTAGATTCTAGGTCTTCCCTGACACCACTGAAGGTTTCTAAGGTTTGTCAGCCTGCTCACTTCTTGTTTCCTTTGATGTACACAGCCAAAGTGGGAATTAGAAAAATGACCAACTAACTCAGAGAGCTAAACTGAGTTCAGGATTATGGCAAACTATGACCCAATTTTTAAATTTGTACCTTAGCATGTATTTCATGCAATTTGGGGAACATCAAACTAAATCTACAGTTGCCAGAAGCCTTGCTACCTTTTGATGCACATTAACTAAAATGTGTACATTTCAGTGCTCATGGGAAATGCAATTATGACCTATTAAACTTTTGGCATTCTTTAAGAAAGCACATTAAGCTTCACTATAGAAATGTTTATGTTATACTTAATTTTGTGCTCAAGTAATAATAAAACATCAGTTGGTTTTGATTTCATAATTCTTTCCTCAGGTGTGGCCCATCTCCTGTACACTCGGAGCAACCTTTGGCTACGTGGCTGGCCTGGTGAGCTCACCACTCTGGATATACTGGAATAGAAAGCAACTCACATACAAGAGCAGTTAAGAGGAGGAAGGGGAGAAGCTGTTTCTTGATGCAGATTCCATAAGGGCTGTGCAGAGGTGGATGGTCAAAGCCAAGCGGTTCCATTTACAGCACTGTTGTTTGTCAATGTTGTCTCAACATTTTAACTATGAAACCCCTGAGAGATTGTACCTTCTAGTTGAAATAAAGTATTTATAGTAGACTGTGGCTTCAGATGCTGTTTGCTGCCGCTTAGACCTTTAAGAAACATTCTCTGTGAACTCTGTAGAATGCCGGGGACAGGTTCCCTCCCCCCTCAAGTTAAACTGCTTCATTGTAAGAGGTCAGGACATCGCTGTAGCATTTCAAATGCTTTCTGGGAGAAATGGACAGTTTCCTTGGCCGCTACAGACTTTTCTCACGTAATCAAACAACAGTTTATACATCTTGATCCTATTCTTTTTTTAACTGTGTGTTTCTTTGGAGTTAAAATGGCTATGATAGCCTCATCAAAAACAGTCTTCAAACCCTTCTGGGTCAAAGCTGAACATTCCACATAGCAGCATGCGCCTATCTGGGAAGAAAAGAAAAGCCACGATTACATAAAACAGCTTTTATAGAACTCAGTAACAGCACATTGTATGGGAAGTTGTAAAATACAGCTATGCCAATTAATACCCATATTCATAATCTCCAGAGGGAGACAGTTGTTGAAATGCTAGTGTATGGCCTTCTAGATTTCTCTATGAAAAGTTCATTCATCAAATAGATAACTTGCTACTGCTTAAGTGCTGAGGACTAAAGGAGCACAGAGCAGACACAGCAAGTGTTGGGGAGAAAGAGCAGAGGGAGTCAGAGAAGCCTTTCAGGTCAAGGTTGAGCAGTGAGGAATCCTGAGGAGCCGAGCAAGACCCAAAGACCTATGTGGGAGGTACTTGACACAGCCCAGACAGCGGAGAAGCCAGAGGTGGGAGCGATAGGCGTGTGACTGCTCACTGTGTAGACGCTGGTCATTCTCCAGTGTCAGTTTCTCAGGATCGCATGCTGCTCTGTCCCTCCTGTGTTCTCCAGACGACACATTGCTTCTGGCTCTCTAGCCCTATGCTCACAACCTTAGGCTTGATCTCTCTCCCTCAATAAAAGAGAAAGTCTCAAGAGCAGGGTAGGAACTCAGTGTTGTTCTGTTGTGTTGCCACCTGGCAAGTAACGCAGTCTCCTTGGAGTGGACGCTCGTTCGTGCTTGCTTCTTCTGACCTGGTGGCCTAGGATGGATGCTCTTAGCCCACTTTCTGCAGGGACATACACTCTCTGATGACTAATTCATCTTATGTAAGGGGCTGCTGTACGCTGAGACGCCAGTGCTCTACACAGTGGCCCACTTTATTTCCGGTACCCGATATGATAGCACATTTTGTAGTCCACTCTCCGCACTTAGAACTTTTGCCTTTGTGCATTAGAAATTCCTTCTCTCCCTAAGATGATAAAGTCAGATGCAAGCAATTTCTCAAGTGGCTTGTTGGTGAAGTCCTTTCTGTTTGATTTGGGAAAACTGTCCTCCAGAAAGTTCTCTTGCTTCTTCCTATCTCCTGATAGTATATTTTAAAAGACCTCCTTAGATAGTACTTACACAAAAAACCTATTAAAGCTAATGGAAAGAGGGAGGAGGAAGAAGAATCATCCAATGTGGAAGGGAAAAGAATCTAGCTTTGGGGTAAGGGAAAATATGAGTTAAAAGGCATTCTATGTATCTGTAAATATGTTTTAGAAATCTAGCCATATTTTTCTTTTTAGCCACACATTTAAACTGTTACCCAATGTCACTTCAACTACACCAAAAGCAGAGCCGAATTTGGCACACTACAAATATTTCAATAATTAAGAAAGGTGTGATGTCTAAGCACCTGCTTCTGGCTTTTAAAAAGCCACCTACCAATGGCTTTAAAGACATCATAGTTGTAAGCATACCATAGACAGGCATGTGACCTGGAAGCCCAGCTCTGACAATTTTACTGCGAGATCTCAGGCAAGCCCCCCTGATATTTAGAAGCACGCCCCCATTCTTTCTCGTCTACAGTCAGGGAAACAGTCTTTCCTTGTGACACCAATGCAGAGAAGAGAGAAGGGGAGAGAAGTTCCCAGCAGCCCTGGGACACAGTGCACAGCGCAGCTGCCTTCTGTGACTTCACATTCATGGGAAATGCAGCAGGGACTCATTACCTCTTTTGCTAGTTTCTGTCCTTGTTCCACACAGACAGGTTTTTCTTTCATGTCGTTCAGTCTTGCTAAAGTTTTGGGGTCATCTCGGAGATCAATCTAATTAAGAAAGATCGATAATGTCCCATGATGTATATTTTAAAAGAAACCAATGCATATAGTCCCATTTAAGCTCCACATATTAAAAAATAAAACAGGATTTTAAAGATATCAATATAATTTGGGAGAATTATTTTTATGTAAAAATGAGAGGAATTACCATTTGAAACTTGTTAAACACATCATTTGCTAATCCTCGGGTCTTTTGTCTGACAGCAACCCTCCAAACTAGCTGGAGAGCTTATTCTTAACAGAATAAAATCCAAGCAGACACACCTGAGTTCCTATTAGTAAGAAGGGGACATTTGGTGCATATTCCTTAAGTTCCGGTACCCATTCCTCTTTTACGTTTTGAAATGAGGCAGGATTTACCACAGAGAAGCATATGAGGAAGACATCAGTCATGGGGTAAGATAAAGGCCTCAGACGATCATAGTCTTCCTATGGACAAATAAAATGAGAAGTCATTATTTACACTTACATGTCTACTGATTAGTAACAATAAATACATTAGGTCACATGAATCAAGAAGTTCATCCAGGACTGTATCTCTCCATGAAATAAGATGATTCCACTTGTTTTTGTTTTTCATCTTTTTTTGGTAAAACAATTTAATGCAATTAACAAATCAAATAAAAACTAAGAAAATAGGGTGGCCCACGCCGTAACTCCAGCATTTGGGAGGCTAAGGAATGGAGATGGAGAATTCTAGGCCTACCTGAGCGACAATCCCACCTCAAAAGACACAAAGAAACACACACACACACACACACACACAGGGGGAGGGGAAGAGAGACAGAATACACTGATTCCTAAAGCTATCACTGCCAAGTTTGTACAAAGACCCAAGATGAGCTTGATGCTAAGTATTCTAACATAATAACACACACACTGAATAAGTACGGCAAGTATTACAATGGTACAGGTAAGTCCAACATGGTCTTTCATGGACTTATTCCTTAAAACTGTGTGATTCACATACAGAGGATGGAGAGTCATAGTAAAAATGCTGGGCTTCCAGCTGGGGCTGACAGCGTTCTTAGTGCTTAATGAACCTTCACGGAGACTCTTTATTTTTGCTTTTCTTGTCCTCTTCCCTCCCTCTCCCCTCCCATCCTTTGTGTATACGGTATATGGATATTAAATGTGTAAGTCACAACCCCTCCCACTTTCCTTTCTTTCCCAAATGTTTTCTTTGTATTTGCCAGCTTTTTTTCTTTGCATATATACACCTGGAACATATATACACACATCCATAAAGCCACACATACATTTTACTCTGCAGGCACCTTGTCTACTCTGCTTTGGTAATCACCACACCAAAATACACTGAACACGGGTCACACTGCTGCTTCAGGGCTCCATTCCTGACTACACTGGACTATTACACAGGTTGGGGCTCTGTTCCTGACTACACTGGACTATTACACAGGTTGGGGCTCCGTTCCTGACTACACTGGACTATTACACAGGTTGGGGCTCCGTTCCTGACTACACTGGACTATTACACGGGTCACACCGCTGCTTCGGGACTCCCTTCCTGACTACACTGGACTATTACAGGTCACACTGCTGCTTCAGGGTTTCCTTCCTCATAGGTTTTAGTTTCTGCCACACAATAACTATCTCATTTTGCGTGATCTCGTTTCTGTGACACTGAATTCTATGTACACTCTAGCAAGAGAACGGAGTCGGGGTTCCACTTCCGCCATGGCTAGACTCATCTGCTTTCTCGGAAACTGGTTTTGGAGTAGACTACCTCTTAAATGACCCACTTTACTACCAGAACTGTATAAGTGCGGAACCAAGAGAATATTCCCAAAGATCTTCCATTTAGTTTCTGCAGCAAACACTCCACTGTAGAATTTTCCTTCCACGCCATCTGACATTTTTAACTTCAGTCCCAGCACCCCCCCCTACTTGTGAGTGACTAGTTCCAGAATCCCCATGACACCCAAATCTGCAGATGCTCCAAGTCCCTTCTATAAAATGGGGCCATTACTTATGTGTAACCACTATCCACCCTTGTGTACATCTTAAGCCATTGCTTAGAGTGCCTAATCAACACAAAGTTAGCTTACTGTATCTCTTAGTGTCCTGGCTAGTTTTATGTCAACCAGACACAAGCTGGAGTCACTGGGAAGGAGGGGGCCTCAGTTAAGAAAATGCCTGCATAAGACGGGGCTGTAGACAAACCTGTAAGCATTTTCTTAATTAGTGATTGATGGGGAAGGGCCCAGCCCATTGTGGGTGGTGCCATCCCTGGGCTGATGGTCCTGAGTTCTATAAGAAAGCAGGCTGAGCAAGCCATGGAAAGCAGGCCAGTAAGCAGCTCCCCTCCATGGTTCCTGCATCAGCTCCTGCCTCCAGGTTCCTGCCCTGTTTGAGTTTCTGTTCTGACTTCCTCCAGTGATGGACTATGATCTGGAAGTGTAAGCCAAATAAATCCTTCACCCCCCCCCCCCAACTTGCTTTTTGGTCATAGTGTTTCATCATAGCAATGGAAACCCCAACTAAGACACTTAGGGAATGACGGCAGGAATGAAGATCTGCATGCATTGTATATTTTCCCCCAAATATTTCAATCCATAGTTGGTTAAAATTTTACAGTTGGATATGAAACCTGCAGACAAAAAAGGGCTGATGTATAACATCTAAATCCTTGTCTATGGACGTTAACTTTTCTATTTTTTTTTTTTGTGAGTCTTTCATTTGGTGATATTTTGTTCGTGCTTTAACAAATAAAGCTTGCCTGAAGATCAGAATATGAAGCTAGCCACACTAGTTAGCCATAGAGGCCAGGCAGTGGTGGCACACACCTTTAATTCCAGCACTCAGGAGACAGAGGAGATTGAATCAAGTCTACTAGAGAAATAGAGCCAAGCAGGTGGTGGCTCAACCTTTAATCCC